CCAAGACCTTCATGTCAGACTTGGTTAACTTCAGAATTATTGTCCCTCTCGATCGTTGATTTTCAAGAAATTCCGAAAAGGAAGATCCTGGAAAAGCGTCCGAGAGATGCCGCGTAATGCCATGGTTAATTTTGTAGGCTAATTGTGACCATGGGCCTTTAGACGGGTTCATTGTAATGAATACAGATGGATGCGCCGCGTTTATTTTAATTACTCATTGATGAATTTACAAATTTGATTGACATTCTTACTAACCGTATCGTAACAATAATTCAGTTCTAATTTTAAAGAATTTTAATTGTAAAGTGTTGTAAACCTAAGCACAGATCCTATCATAGTTATTTTATAAGCTATGTGGAAATTCATTTATAATTTACGGAAGAGGGAATATTTCTCGTAGAATCTCACACATAATTTGCACTGCATGATGGTATACTTGGAGGAGACGAATCTAACCAGCCTGGAGTGGAGAACTGCCTAGAGCTCAACTCTCTGAAGATGTACCGCTTCTCAAGCACCTTGTGCTACGACACGCGTCGAGTGATGTGCGAGACGCAGCCCCTCTAGAATAAAACTTTCTGAAATAAATCCCTTGAAAAGTTGCTTCAAAACATGTCTATATGAGTAAATTATTTCAACAGCTGTCCATCGATTACCTTCACTTTTATTTTATACGATACCATACTTTGCTAAATGTGATACATAAATCCCAGAACACTTTATAAGCAACAGTCTGTTCACTGCGATTTGAGTTTTGCGCCTGAAGACTTGGATTTTTTCAATAGCAAATGATGACGAAAATATTGTCGTGGCGAAGACAGGAAAAAAATAAAGCATGTAATAAAGCATGTAATAAATCTTTTTAGTATTTCTTCAAAAGAAAATAAACTAAACCGCCGCCATTGCGCATGTACACGGAAGAAGCTATCGAACTGCGCCACCCCTTCTTCCACACGACGTAACCTCATTTAATAATAATTTAAACCTCATCCTAAATTAAATATAACTTCGGATAAGACCAAATAAAAAAGGATAAATTATCAGTTAAATAAAGAATCAGTTAAATCAATTAAATCAATTATTAGTTGAATCAATTATTAGTTGAATCAATTGTCAGTTAAATCAATAATCGGTTAAATCAATTATCAGTTAAATTAATTATCAGTTAAATTAATTATCAGTTAAATTAATTATCAGTTAAATCAATTATCACTTAAATCAATTATAAGTTAGATAAATTATCAGTTAAATCAAGAATCAGTTAAATCAATTATCAGTTACATCAATTATCAGGTAATTCAATTAACCGTTAAATCAATTATCAGATAAATCGTTTATCAGTTATATCAATTATTATAATTCTGGGAAATGGGCAACTAATTGGGATTGTGAAATAACTAATTGAATTTAGAATGGAGACAAATTTTAAGTGGATGAATGTCTTTAATTTTGAGGAACTTTGCAAAGCAAACTTGTACGGCACTTTAAGAAGCAGTCACTGAACCACAGCACAGTTAGGGTAGCGACTTACGGCTTCAAACTAGAAGAACAAGCTTTTCTGAGCCCAGGTGAGGAGTCGTCTAGTAGGTGATAGTGCCTAGTGCAGTTCCATCATCCGTATGGAGCCACAAGACGATAATTAAACGCACGGATGGGCACAAAGGTTGGCAACGGGAACAACACAGGTGGGAGTAGCAAGGATGGTGGCTGAAGATAAATAATCTGTATGTTGGTGGCCAGCGTTGCTCAACTTCGGCTTCAATGGAGGGAAAGCCTCAAAAACCGTTTGAGCAAAGTCGCGACCTGTCTGGCCGCTGAATGACTGTGTTAAATTTTAAAATGCGATTGTAGCGAAATGAATTTGAAACTTTCCAATTAGTTGCCATTGTATTTTGAAAGAAGACATACTCCAATTTAACCTTTTCGACAAATGGCATGCAATTTTCAATTTGATCATACTGCTGAATTTACTCGTTCTTTGCATTGTTATCAACTTGCAATTCCCTAGTATCAATATTATTACAATTGTACAGTCCGTTTCTCCTCACTTGTAGTTCCGAATCCATAAGGACGTTGGAAAAAGTATTGAGTATAAGCTCAAAAATGCATGAACAAAAATGGAATTAATTCCTTGGCATCGAAAATAATTAGAGAATTACCTCCAAAATGAATTATTTACAGACAATTGAATATACAAATATCATGAAAAACAGCACTTTACGCCAAATTAATGGAAGAAATTTTAAACCAGCAACGATATTTATGCTACATGAATTGATGTGGTCGCGCAAAGTTCCCTTCATATGCTCCGTAAGCATCAATGCTGAAGTGGAATATCTTTTGAAATTCTCCGAAATATTCTGCTAAATCCATCCAATTGTCGTCCGGTTCCGTTGAGGAGGCAATTTATTCTGTCAATAATTGATAAAATAAATAATTTTAACAATTTTATATTTTTTCATTTAATTAAAAAGCGAAAAAATAATTTTGTCTGCTACAAATCTCATAATCGATATTTAGCACACTTCTACCTGGTCAATCGTTTTGAAATTTTGCACATTCGCGTTAAGTCGAAGACAATGCATGAATCAATAAATAATTTTGGAAATTTATTTTTTTGTGTATTAAAAAAGAATAAAATTATTTTCTTAATATTTGAAAATAAAATTAGAAATTCATTGTACATGTGTAACATCGGAGACACTGGATTTTTTAGAAGTGTTGTCTATAAAAAGTAATTTTTAAAGCATATTATTCAATTAACTTTAATTAACTTTAATTAACTTTCATTAATTTTATTTAACTTTAATTAACTCATGGACAACACATTAACTCAATTCGAAAAAGGCATAAATCAGCGAGTTTGCCTGAGTAATGTCCATTTAGCAACCCTGGTACTTACGAGAGCCCCCTAAGGTCATTCATCTCCCATCTTAAAAAACTTCATCTGAAATAGTCTATTCTTGGCGCTGTCAAGCGGCTGCATTGATAAATCGAAATATTAACTAATACTGAATAAAGCGGCACTTTTTAACGTTTTCAATTAAAATACAATGAATTTTTAAGGCGTTTTCTTTGCCTAAAAGTTCTTGTCATGGATGAAATTTAACCATGGCATTTAATTCTCTAGTAAACTCGAGGTTATGATCACTTGAGGCTCAAATTGCGCATATGTGTGAAGTACCTGAGGTACTTTATATGCACTTCAAAAAGCTTTATCTTCCTCAAATCTTCAGGATCACAAAGACAAAAACTTCTTATATCAATTTATTTCATGCCTTCATCTGAGTCTATTACTTTATTTTTATGTGCCTTGTTTTTATGGGTTCTACTTTACTTATTTTACTAATCAAACTGATCCGAGCACGTTTGCTCTTGTCGCCTGCAACAAGTGCGATAAGAGGATAATTTTAGAGAAAAATTGAAGTGTTAAGAGTTTTAAAAGTAGACGGTTATAAAACAAGATATATTATTATATCAGATATATCTAATAGATAATTCAGAAATTATTATTGTCGGTCCATACTTTAATTTATGTATAAAATATTAGCAGGAGAGTACTGCGTTGACCCGGATGGAAAGTCTTTGCAATCCGATTATAACGCTATTCAGAATCCCGTCATTCCGAATTCAGTAATACGGAACAACATCATCATGAATCCAGTTAATAATTTCGAAACTTAAGCACGGTATTTAAAACAGAGGACCGTTCAAACCGACATTTAGCCAAAACTACAATGCCTGTAATGGAATTTGAACTTTTAATTACTTGAATAAAATTTACATCTAACTATTTGAAAATAACTTTAAAAAATAATGATAACTTTGGTAACTTTAAATTTGGCGATCGAAATTTTCCCTTCCTTTTTCAATGTCCCAGGATTCCACCGTTAACCAATAAAATTTTATTCCCGGATAATATTCCGAATGATAAGTATCCTGGATACGCGCCTCAACAGCCCCTATATACAATATCCCGACACGATTAAGTATCCTGGATACGCGCCCCAACTGCCCCTATATACAATACCCTGACACGATAAGTATCCTGGATACGAGCCCCAACAGCTCCCATATACAATATCCCGACACGAGAAATATCTTGGGTACGCGCCCAACGGACCCTATACATATACAATATCCCGGCACGATATGTAACCTGGACACGAGCCCTAAAAGCTCATTTACATTTGGTACAATTCCGAGCTTCAAAAGCATACAATTTGACGAATATATAGAAGATATTCATATTGCTTTAGAAATGGCATTTCGCAGACCCTTTTACCGCTTATTTGAATAGAGTTTTGCGAGTGAAAATAGAAGGTACGCTTAGCTCGTACGCGTCATCCCGGCGGCTATTATGTCTCGCTATCCACTTCACAACTTGAGATACGAGAAGCTATATAGTGAGGGGAAACGAAATTCGCATCACAAGTTCATCACACGTCACGCTGAAAAGTGCTTTCTGAAAATAACCTGACATCCAATTATATTGTTTCGTTGTGCTACTACAACTTTCATCAAATATTTGATGCTTAATTATCTTTGCTTCATTCACTGCTCACTCATTTTACTTTTTCGTCTCGAATTACGCTTGTATACCTGCGGAGAAACATTAGTTTTTGTAAGATACATGATTTTCCTGTGGCATTTAGAAAACTGTATATCGTTTTTATTTTATCCACTCAAATACACATATCAAATTGACTGGTAATTTATTTAAACTTCAATTTATGTATCACATTAAAAAATTATATTTTTTTGATCGATAATTTTCATCACAATTATGAGCTGTATATCTAGTTTATCGAGAGCAGGAGCAGTTATGGTTATTCAATATATATTTAAGAAACCTAATCGCTCCGATTCTTTTTATTAATAAATCTTGAAATGTTTTAACTACCGCATGCTGCTCAGCAAGGAAACAATGATTACGAGCGATATTAACACTTGTGAATTAATCAATCAAAGTCTGGAACCAGGATCACGCACGGCAGAGGCTACCTTCATTGAATGCACAATTGAACACATTTCTTCACACAGAGATAATTTTTACGCATTTTAAAACAACTTGTTCACTGATTTGTTTGACTTGCAAATTGAGGCCATACAATTGTTGAGCTTTGAGCATGACGCCGATGAAGATCATCTGTCAGCTGCTACTGTTCCTAAGTGAGTCACGAATAAATTTTATGGGTCAATGTGAGAAAACTAGTTTCCCAAAAATCGATGCATATGTTGCCCAATGCACATTCTAAGCAGGCTGCTAATTAGAATGTGCATCACAATTTGGATTTGTGTATCTGTGCTAAATACGTTTTGTGAGTTCCGTGCCGCTGCTTGCTTATACAGAAAATACTATATTTCTTTAAACCTTTACTACTTACGCACAAAAATCTACGCATTTCGCAAGTAGTCCATTTTTTATCCTTGTCAAAACTTACGTACGTCAGACCTAATTAAAATAGTATTATCAAAGGCTAAAACCAAAAAAGTTGCATAAAACATTTTACTGAATAGAAGTCCTAGATAAATAAAACAGAACGTTTCGGGCTATGCCCATCATCAGCTAGTAAAATACATCTGAAAATACATGGAAATCAATTTTAGTAAATAAATTTAGAAAATGATAAGGAAAGAAAGGAAAAAACAACTAATGACCTAGAATCGAAAGAGGAAAAGAGCTGGATTGGTTATTCAATTTAGGTTTAAGTTTATGGATGTAAAGAGACTCTAAAATTCGTAAATCGGTTTGGCTGCTAGCGTTACAAAGAATTTTAAATTGATTGATGGACACGGAAGGAGCAAGTGGGCACTGTTCTGTATGAAGTCTGACTGATGAATGAGGCGGCTGAGCAAGTGGACGCCCAGTACGGAAACTTCTTCCAGCATGTTCGGCAACTCTGGTGAAAAGTGCTCGTGCGGTCATACCGACGTAGCTAGATGCACATTGTGCACAACTGAAAGAATACACCA